GGGGGGGGGGAGAGGTTGGAACGGGGGTGATCCGAGGGGCTGACGCTGGGGCTTTTTATGGACTGCATGTGCGCAGGGAAAGATGTCTCTCACGAAGCTGTTGATCGAGCAGCTCAAGACGCACTTCATCGACAACGGTCCGGCCGGGAAAAACAAGAGCAAGGGGCATTAGCACTATGTCTGCAACTACTGCGAGACCCGGTTTGTTGGGTCGGCCACCAACCTCAGGGACCACTTCTTGAAGGGCAAGTGTAGTATTGAGCGTGTCACCCGCTCGTTGGACACAGATGAGAGGTTGAGGAGGATAGAGGGGATTCGAATGGGAACGATGCAGGCGGAATCCCTTATCGGAGGGAAGGGAAGCGCGGGTGCGGGTTCGAGCAGAGCTCCCTCTCGGAGCAGCTTGGTCATCCCATCCCCGACGGTGAGCAGGCCCCCTGTTCCGGCTGTTGGTGAGTCAAGCACACCCGCGACATCCGGGAATACTGCACCGTTGGTCGGACGGCCGACGAGGCAAACCCTGATCGAGGAAGCGAACATCATCGTCACCCAGAATGAGCAGACCAGCAGACACCTGGACCGTTTCCTGATCTGCACGAACCAACCCTTCAGCTTGGTCGAGAACTACTACTTCCTTTAGCTCATCGATGCGGTTAAGAAGTGCCATCCTAGTTGGTGGCCGTGCAAGAGGGACGAGATGAGGACAAAGCGGTTGGACGGGCAGTGCAAACTTGTTGGGGACGATATGATGAGTCTTGTGAGGAAATGGGAGAGGACGGGCTGCATGCTGCAGATGGACGGGTGGTCGGATAGGAGGAACAAAACACATCTCAACGTAATGGTTTCCTCCCCAGTTGGCACTGTGTTTTGGAAGTCCGTGTGCATGGAAGGGAAGGAGAAAAATTCAACGGCCTACTTCAAGCTGTTGGAGGGAGTCATCGAGGAGATCGGTCCGCAGTCCATCGTCGGCGTCGTGATGGACAATGCGAGGGTCTGTTCGAAGGTCGGGAAGATGGTGGAGGCGAAGTACCTCGGGATTTTCAGTATCGGTTGCACGCCCCATGCGTTGGATTTGGCGCTGGAAGATATGTACAAGCGAATGGACTGGATGAAGAAAGTCGTTGACAAGGGCAACCGAGTGGGCAAGTTTGTGACCAACATTGACAAGGTCTGCGCGATGTTCAACAGAATCGCAAACACCCAACTCAAACGCCCAGCCGTCACGAGGTTCGCAACAAACTTTGAAATGCTGGAGGCGCTAAAGAGAGGGAGGACTTCACTTGAGCTGTGCGTCGAGAACGTGGAATGGGTTCAGAAGTTGGTGAGGGTTGAGCAGGTGGAGGCATTTAACGCTGTCACGCGCACCATCGTGGACAGTGGCTTTTGGGATGAGGTCGACAAAGCAATCGCTGTCATGGAGCCCGTGGTCAAGTTGCTGCGTTTGGTGGACGGTCCCGGAGCGACTGTCAGCAAAGTGTACTTCGGCATGGACGAGATCGTCGCACAGATGCGGATCCTCGACTTTTTGACGGAGGAGGAGAAGTTAGCGGTGGAGAACATTCTCATGGACCGGTGGACATTTTTGACATCCGAGTTGCATTGCGCTGCAGCCTTTCTCGATCCGGAGTATCGATCGCTGACCATGCGGGATACGGAGATCCGCGAGGGATTCAACATATGGGTCTATTCTTGGGCGCCACCGGAGCTACTGAATCAAATCAGCAGGCAAGTCGATTATTGGGTCCGCGGATTGGGCACTTTCGAGACACAAAACGCAAAGGAGCAGGCCAAGCTGCAAACACCAGCACTTTGGTGGGAGGTGTTTGGGGGATCATTGTACCTTCTCCAACCATAAGCCATCAAGCTTCTCGGCCAGGTGAGCTCTTCGGCCGCGTGCGAGCGCAACTGGAGCTTGCACCAGCTAATATACGGACAACGGTGTACCAAACTCCTGCCCGAGAGACTGGCGAAGCTCGTTTACAGCAATTGGAACATCCAATTGACCACGAGGCGGGAGTGCGGAGAGACGAAATTCAACAACATTCCTTGGAAGGACAATGACCTTGCGAAGACGGAGGTGGAGTAGTGGTACGAAGACTGGACTAGGCAGGTCATTGATGGAAGAGCCGCTGATGCAGACGCGGTGGAGGTCGCAGATGAAGATGATGAAGATGGCCCTTTGGTGCGCACATGGCAAAAGAACGACGCGGAGGACGACCTTGCGGACGAGGAGGATGACATCGCCCTGCTCGGTTCAGTGCAACACACCTGACATGCAAACACGAAGCCGGGGAAGCACCGAGTCCGTGAGCTGCGCCGGAAGTCGGGCCTCCAGGAGCCCGAACCTGCATTCGTTTACACGCTGGAGGGCCGTGATCGTGCCATGAGCGCACGACAAGCGGGCGATTTGGTGCACGGGAGAGAGGAGGCGTCAGGGCGTCGGCAACGGAGACGAAAGGCAGCAACACCCGAGCCCGATGAAGCAGGGTCAACGCGCAAGGGGAAGAGTAAGGAAGGAGGCAATGAAGTCGCGCCGCCGAAAAGGAAGAGGGGGCGGCCATCTCTTTCACCTGCAAAGAAGGCTGCGAATGCTGCAGTGAAGGTTGCGAAGAAGGCCGCAGAAGACGAAGAGGCTGCAGCCAAGGCAGCAAAAGGATCCGGTGCAGCAGATGCAAGGCCGAAGAGGAAGCGTTCGCGCCGGGTCATGGAGGACGACGATGACAATCTGCAATCGTCTTCATCGTCATCTTCCTCCGAAGAAAGAGCCCAATCGTCATCATCCTCGTCATCATCGGAGGAGGCTTTCGAGGACGAGCAGTCGCAGGAGGAGTCTGCCGGGGAGCACGAGTCAGGGGAGGAGGCATAGTAGACCACGCAATCCGCACATCACGTAGATACAGTCGAGTGTCCAGTGGACGAGCAGTCACAGTAGTGTTCACATTGTTGCCTGCTTATGAAAGGCAACCTTTTAACAATCTAAATTCTGATGAAGGTTTCGGAAATTTTGAGTCTTCCTCACTGTTTTGGAAGTGTTTCAGTTTGTGTGTTCTTTATAATTCGTTTTTGAACTTTCGTGAGTTCAATTTCTTGCTGCAAAATGTGTGTGTCGAAAGGCCATGATGTGATTTGCTGTGATCTGATTGTCATGTCTCCTGTTTTTTCCTCTTGTGATGGCTGTGTGTGGAAACTGTGGACATTGCTGCCGTCATTGCATACGCAACACGACTCACAGGTGAGTTCCGCATCCTGCTAGAGAAAAAGAAAAGAGAAAAGAATAAAAGAAGAAAAAAAAAAGAACAAGAAAAAAAAATGTTGGTCTGCGGGATGTGTTATTTGAACTTGTTTCAACTTTAAAGTTTCAACTTTTTTGCTTTGCGGCAGTTGCATCAGCTGTGGAATGTGCTATTCTTCCCTGTGAGCAGTGTGAGGTTTGGTTTTCTGCTCCTTTTCCTTACCTCTCTGCCTTTTGGCTGCGTGCAAGCGGGTCCTTGCGACACACGGGGACGGGGGAAACCAGCCTGTCAACCACGTGGCTGGCCTTGCACGCGGGAGCCTGATGGGGACGGTCACTGCATAACTAGGAGGGAAAAAAAAAAAAAAAATCACGCCCTCCCGAGTGCGCCAACGCACTGGCGCACTGCGCACTGCAATGACGCGCACCGCATCGCGCACTGCGCACTGCACACCGATGCGCGCACGGCCAGGTGGCGCATAGCGCGTTGGGCAGCGCACCGCATCAATGGGCCGCAAGTATGAGACTGATCTTTCATTGGTTTATGGAGGAGTGTCGTGAGGTGTCCTTGGGGGCCCAGCGGGTGACACAGGAACTACGACTACCGTAGGGATAGGAGGGCGGGTGAGAAAGTGGAGGCCAGTGGAATAAGGGTTAAAAAAAAAAAAAAAAAAAAAAACCTGGATGAGGCAGAAAAACGAAAGGAGCTAGAGGAATTTTGAAAGAATCTGGCTTAGCAAGAATAGAGTCGCGGAGATAGAGAAGGGCACAATCCAATTAAAAACTGGGAATAAATTGAAGAACAAAAAATAGTAGCAAAGCAGAGACCGCTGTGGGTAAGGTGGCAGGGCCGGAGGATTTCTGCAATCAATGGAGAGACAGGCACAACACAGGCACCGTGATCTGACAGGCTAAGTTGCTTCATGGGACTTCAAGAAATGCTTGGAAATGATTTGGAGTTTATGTTTCTGGAAAAATAAAAACTATAGGGTTTAGTGTTTGGACAAATTAGGGGAAACAGGGTTCAGAATAGCTGAGTTGTCATGTGGCTCACATGGGGGATTTACAGTAGACAAAATTGGCAGCTTTGGCAGCTTCTAGGACCTTTCTGGCTAGTCATGTTTTATACGACAGGTTTTCGCAGTAGACCTGAGAGGAAAGGATGAAGCAGGGCAAGCTGACAGTCAATCCTCCACGATGTTGGAGCAATCAATGCTGGTCAGGGGTCCTTCGGCCGGACGGAAGGGAGCGTGGGTGAGTACTTATGGTGTATCCTGTTATTCTGACTTGCCGGTGGAATAGGAACCGGACTGATGATACTGTTCGCCGAGGAGAGAGTGTTGAGGGAGGAAGACCGGGTAGGATTAGGCCGAGGTCTTAGAGGGAGGGGTAGGAGCGGATTGAGGGTCGCTACGGGGGTCGACGGTGGAGAAGGTGGGGGGGATCGGTTGGATGTGAAGTGAGTGTAGTAAGAGGAGGGGAGGGATGAGTCTGGGAGGAAGTTGGGGGGGAATGAAGATTCAGTTGATTGATGGGTTGCGAACTGTGGTAGTACTGCGTGGGACTCGTTGCAATTTCTCTCCTTTCCTAATGTGCCCTTTTACGATTACTTCTCAACTCAACCTTCCCCTTCCGTTAGGTAGTTAAAGTTCCACTTTTCTCAAATCCGAGTGGTTATTGCTGTTTCGGTAACTACCAGTTGTTAATGTGGAGAGGGTAAACGAATCACCGACGTCCCTGGTCCGCAATATAACGTACTAACCTTCCTTACCAGAAAGGTGATCCCCAAGTGGTGATAGTAAATGCTGCCCGATTTCCGCGAACACTCGCGCAGCAATCTTTAAAGTCTCGTCATCTCCCCCCTCCATCCAGACAGGGTTGTTCCCCTACACAGGAATCGACTATAAAAGCATCATCCTACCCTTCTCTTTCTCACGTTCATCTCCCCCCTTCCCCGCTTGACATCACATTATAAATGTGGCAAGCAACCCGAAGACAAACGCTGCTCAATTTCTTCCTCAGCCCTTTCCACTCCATACACTCCTCCCACTGCTCTTCCCTGTTGCGTCTCTAGAGAAGAGGGTATTCGTCATCCCTTTCCACCAATTCTGATCTGTACCTCAACGATTCAATCTGCTTGGTGTAAAACCCGTTCCCCAAGAGGGGAGGGTAAACGCTGCCAATTTTTTTTGAGAATTCACAATCTAACTACCCCCACCCCCCTCACCCCCACTCTTCTTTCTCCTCGAGTTCATCTCGAACGCCATCAGATCTCACCCCATCCCTTCTCTTCCCCATCCAGATCCCATCCTGACCCCAACCCCTCCCCTTCACAGTCCGATTCGACACATTCCCGATCACGCCACGTTCCCAACCCACCTTCGAGTCACACCCTCCTCACCCCCATTCATCTCTCTCCCCCTTCCCATCTCAAACGCAAACAAAACTCACCCCTTCTTTTCTCCACCGTACCCCGATCCCAACTCGTTCCAATGTGTAGGATATCCCACCCCCACTCCGGCCCCAAGTCGACCCGATCCAACTCTGATCTCAACCCATTCCCAACCTGAATTCACTGACTCGGACCGCCGCTTAATATCAGACTCCATCCCCACTCCATCCCCACATTCAAGCACGAGACCCACCCAAATCTGATTTATACCGATTCCATTCTTATCCTGTGGGCAGATTCCCCATTCAGATACCCGCTTATCACTGAATACAAGTTTCCGACGCGTTACCCAAGAGGGAGGCCAAGTTATGCTATTCTACCAAAGATGGCTATATCATACTCTATGGCAGCCCAAAAGGGAATGAGCGAGAGGGAGAAGCTGGACTTCGCCCGAGGGCAGGGGGGAGTAATAATGTCCTTAACAAGACAGACGGCATCACAGTTAGGAACAGCACCAGCATCAGGCGAAGCCAAGTCGTGTTCTCTGGGGCAAAAGGCGATGGATTTTCTCCTGGAGAAAACGCAAGTCAAGGCGGAGATTAAGATCACGAAAGAAGTAATTAAGGGAGAGGGTGGGAAGGAAGAGGAAGTGGACGTATGGGAATATCCCGAAGATAACATCCAATCTCTGAATGAACTGTACGAGAAGCATGCAGTTCTGTTCAATTTCTCAGGAAGAAGCAGGGAGCTTTCTTTAAATGAGAAGAGGTGGGTGAGGGACAGACTGTTAGCCATGGAGGACATACCAGGGAAGGAACCAGAGGTGTCTTTCCATAGGAGGGGAAGGTTTGTCGTGATGATCGTCTGTGTGGATCCTACCTATGTCCAGTACCTGCTTTCGTTAGGTTCATTGAAATGCAAGGGGGTAGTAGTCACAATCCAATCTTGGAAGCCGCCTAGACCACCCTAAGCCGAAGCATTAAGACACAGACAATCAATGTTGAGGAACCACTTCTGGGTTCAGTTTGACAACCTATCGGAGGGAATGCACAACTTTGTGCAAAGGAGGCTGCACGAGGAATTTCCAAGCAATCCAATCATAGAATGGCTCCCGGCCAACCTTGACTTTCTGGCGCCAAATCACGATGCAAGAGTGGCTTGTTTGGAAGTCAAGTCGGGGGCACCGCCGAAGTTCCCGGACCAATGGATTTTCAAGAAAAGTGGCCAGAGAATCACAGTCTTCATCTCGACTAAAACCAACCCTTTTTGCTTCAAATGCAGGGGTAGAGGTCACCTGGGAACCTCTTGTCCACAAGGAGAATCAGGAGCAACAGGAGGAAAAAGGGCGGCATTGAAACAATCTATGCTACAGGAGTGCGGAAGCAAGCCAGGAGTCTGGTATATCAATTCCTCCTTATACAGGGGATGTATATTCGATGACAACTTGGAAAACCCAAGGTGGGTTTGGGTGTTGAAGAAGGATCCAACGGTCAAACCGGATATCTATCCACCATACAATAGCAGGTGGAGACACACTGGAGCCATGAGGATGGAAGACAAGGAAACTGCTTTTATTGTCAAACCCATGTTGGATGACGCGGTCTTGCAGGATGATGAGCAGAGATTGAAGCTCATGGAGGAACTACATGAGGTCGGGAAAAACGCTGAATTGGCCTTTTTGGAAAATGCAGAAGCCAGAGCACAACAACAGGAGCAGATAAGAGGCAAGGAGGACAGGTCAAAAGAAACGGAGGAGGGCGAGGGAGACAACATGGACTATGAGGAAGGAAGGAAGGGGGGAACAGTAGGAGGAAGTTTCTCCACAAAGAGGAAGGGAGAGTCAAGAGGGGAAGATGGGGCTAATACTCAGGAAGGAGAGTCGCATCAGGGAAAAAGGAGACAAAAGACCCAATCAGGAGAGGGGGTCACCGCAGGAGAGGAAGAGGGAGAGGGCAGAACAAGCATGGATTCATCAAAGACCTCGGGCAAAGAAAGAGAGATAGAGTCAGGTCCACACGACTCGACCTCAAAGGGTACCAGGGTAGGAGAGGAAGGGACAGGCAGTGCAGACAAGAGTGAGGAGGACTCGACAGACAAGGATTACCCAGAAGGATCATCGCAGCACGAAGAGGACAGAGGCAGAGCTCAAGGTGCTCAGGTACATGTCACAGTGGAGGAAGAAGAAAGGGTAAGAGAAAGAGCGAGAAGGAGAGGCATGCAAAATGCAGACAACATGACAGTTGAACAGATACTGCAGGCAAAGGAGGACCAAGGAGTGAGTTCACCAGACACAGAAAGCGAAGCTTCATCAGAGGAGGACGAGGAAGAGGGGGAGGAAGAACAGGAAGATGCAGATGTGGAGGATTGGACAAGGGAACGGTGGGCAAAAGAGGTGGAGCAGCTGGAATGGGGGAGGACAATCGAGTGTGAAATCAGGCTGGCCCTCTACAAACACCTGAGGAACCTTCAACAAGCCACACAAGGAGGGGAAGACTTTACGTCAGAGAAAAGGTTTGAACTGCTAAGGAGGGAAGGAGAAGTCAATGAGTTCTATGCATCTCAGTACGCAAGAAAGTCCCACACAGTAAGAAACGAGATACACATACAACAGGAGGAATATGAGAGGATATTTCATTGGCCGAAGTCCTACCATAGCAAGGAAAGGAAGAGGGATGGCAAGAAACGAAAAGCTCAGGCGGTAGAGGAGCAAAGCAGTACAGTTGAGGGAAGAAACGACCCAATGGATGGTGATGCAATGGAAGAAGAACAAGGGACTGGAGAGAGAGAAGAGGAAGAGGTCCAGGATTTGAGAAGGCAAGCCGCGATTTTGGTGGTGCAGGTGAACTTGCTCAAGGATGAGAACAGAAAATTGGAGGATGACACAGTGAATGTGCAAAAAATAGCGATAGGTCAGTGGAAGGAGATTGAAGCTGCGGCTAGACTCGAATCCAACAACGGGAGGAGGAGAAGAGTAGTTCTACCCTGTCGTTGGAATGCAGGGCACTCAGATTGGGAAGTGGCAATCAACCATTCCTTGCAGCTGTTAACAACCCCGATGGAAGAGTGCTCTGGCTCAGATCTTCAGAAATTAATAGGGGGAGAGGTTCCGGCTCGAGCATTCATTTTGAGAGAGGGAGGGGAGGAGCCGATGGCATTAGGAGAGGAAGGAGACGAGGGAACAATGACAGATTTCGGACCACTGCTACTTCATATGGGGACTGATTTTGTACTAAGAGAGGGTTTGATCTGGATGCCTTGGCAGGTGGTGGAGACCATTCCCTATGGGCTCCTAGGGGGGATTTAGGTGCGGAATGGGTTGCAAGGTGCACAGCGGTAGCGACAATAGTGGAGGCGTTTGTTTGGAAGCCGGACTTCATCGAGAAGAGGGTAAGTGAGGTGGCATCAACCATAGAGCTTAATGCACAATATATTTGAACAAGGAAAGATGAAGGGGGAGTCTACACCCTAACGAGCAGACCCAATGGAGAGGGGAGAGTTAGAGCGACCAAGAAAGCAGAGAAGAAGGTTTGAGGGGGGTATGGGTCTATCGGAACTCAAAATAACGTCGTGGAATGTGAATGGGCTAGTTGGGATCTTAGAGAATGGAGACAAGTGGCAAAATGTAATAAATTACTTAGAATGGTTCTCTTTGTCTCCTCCGGATTTCTTGTGTTTGCAGGAAACACACCTACAAGAATCGGTAGGACACCAGAAAACGAAGTACCAGATAGAGAAGAAACTGCAAAGAATTAAAGCAGCATGGTGGGCCCCAACAACAAACAACCATTCCACGGGAGTGGTTATACTACAGAACAAAAAGGCGAAAGCGGCGGACAAGATAATCATCACAGAAACAAGGGTTGATGAGGAGGAGGGAAGATGGGTCAAGATCAACTTCGAGCTGCATGAGGAACGCTACACGCTACTGTCAGTCTACTGTCCAAACGGTTATCAACAAAGATTAGATATGATCGAAAGGCTCAAACTACTCCTAGATGGGAATAGGCACCTGATCCTAGCAGGAGACTGGAACACCACCTTGGATCCTAGCCTAGATAGAATTTAAGAGGGTTTTAGATCAGAGGAAGAGGGCTGGTCACTAGAGTCGCTGCCGATTCATGGGCTAATGACTAATTTAGAACTGTTAGACCCGTATAGATTACTGTTCCCGGATAAAAGACAATTCACCTACCGAAAGAGAAACCGTAGCCGACATGTGTCGGCTTCCAGGATAGACTACTTAACATCACCGGGCATAACGGGCATGTTACACTCAGTAAGCATAGGTAGCCTATCGTACGATGTGGGTTTGGACCACAAACCCATCCTTTTGATCTTGACATCAGACAAGCAAATCAGAAGGGGTAAGGGGTTTTACAAAATCAATAATTCCCTCCTGAAAACTAAGGAAATGAGACAGGCGGTCTTTCAAGTGTGTCAAGAACACAACCCGGACACACACTCATTCTGAGAACTGCTAACATCACTGTCTAAGGCTTCTGCTATAGTGGCTAGGAGGCTCGCGTCAAAGAGGAAGGAAAGGGAGGAAGAACTGAAGCGAGCAATAGAGATAGCAGAGCACAATACTATTCTTTGGCCAGGAGATGAAATATATGAAAGAATATTAGAGACGGCTAGAGGAGAGATGATGGAATGGCAACGCTGGAAAATGAAAGGCTTAAGAATGAGAGCTAGAATTAAAGAATGGGAGGAAGGGGAGAGAATGACCAAATTCTTCTTCCAAAAAATCAAGACCAGGGGAAGGAACAATCTCATAGAGAGCTTAGAAGGGGAAGGGGGGCCTACTTCCGGCAAGGAAGGGTTGTTAAGGGTGGCTTTCGACTTCTATAGTAAGCTATACACATCAGTGGAAGACCAGTCCCCTAAGCCTAAAGTGGAGGAGGCGAGATCAAAGTTCCTGAATTATCTTCAGAACACAATTTCACGAAAGCATGCTGCCATGCTTGACGAACCCTTAACACAGGAGTTATGGGAGGCACTAAAAACGATGACCCCGAATAAAACCCCAGGGAAAGACGGCCTGTCTAGAGAATTCTGGATAAAATTTTGGCCAATTTTGGGAGAGGAATATGTTTCCTTCCTCGAACAGGCATGGCAGAAAGAGGGTATAGGGAGCGAGCCTGCAACAGGGATAGTCACGCTCCTTTACAAAAAAGGGAGTCCAACGGACATATGAAATTATAGACCCATAACTTTGTTGACCCTCACTCACAAAATAGTAGCCAAGGCGTTAGCTAATCGCTTATCCAAAATCACGGCGGGTTGCTTCCATCTGGATCAAACAGGATTCATACCGGGTAGGTTTATCTTGGATAACGTCATGTGCCTAACAGAATCGGTCCGGTACATAAGGGACAAGAGAATCAACGCCGCCATTCTTTTTTTCGACTTTGAAAAGGCTTACGATCAGGTTAGTTGGCCTTTCCTGCAGTTGTTCATGGAAAAGATGGGGGTAGGACCAAACTTTAGGAAGTGGATCAGGGTCTTATATAACAATGCACAAGGACAAGTACAGATAAATGGTCACTTGTCCTCGACCTACCCGATGTCAAGATCGGTTAGGCAAGGGGACCCCTTAGCTGCTCCTATCTTCCTCTTCGTAATGGAGGCAATAGCCTCCTTCCTGAGAAAGGACCCGTCAATAGAAAGACTAACAGCTCCACCAGACCAGCAAGGTCACAAGGTGGTAATCCCCACGGCGATATTGTTCGCGGATGATTTGACTGTCCTAATCAGAGCAACAGACTCCTCCTTCCAAGCGCTAACAAGAGCTATGGAAGCCTTCCAACTCGCTTCAGAAATGAAAATCCACTGGCACAAAACAGTGGGCTGGTGGATGGCAGAGCTAGACCAAGAGAACCAGATACCGGTCACTAGCCTGGAGGGGGGGCTTCAATGGATGTCACCGCAACAACCGCTACGATACCTTGGGATCAAAATAACAGAAGAAGGGACTCACCAGTCGATGGCAGCAGACATAATGGCCAAGATGTTAGCAAAGTTCAGGGCTTGGTCAACAGTGTACACTTCAATATACGGAAGAGCACTGATCTTGAACGCATCGATCCTTTCCATGATGTGGTACGCGGGGTCAATTTGGACTCCCCCCAAGGCCACATCGACCCAACTTAGGAGGAAGGCAGCTGCCTTKTTGTGGACAGCGAAGCACAACACGGAACATTTCATAACCAAGGTGGCATGGAAGACGGTAACCAGAGCCAAGGGTCAAGAGGGCCTAGGCATCCTAGACCCAAGTCTACAGTTGAAGGCCTTACAAACAAAATGGGTGGTCAAGCTAATCTCACAACCCATGTTATCATGGACTTCATTAGTATTGGCAAGGATCAGRCAGATAGCCATGTACAAAACACCTGACAATATGACGGGACTGTTCTGGATCATGTGCAGCAACTGGGCTAAAGTGGGCTATAGGAAGGAGAACAGGGATGCACAAGGGGGGAGGGCTAGAAACCCTTCTTATTGGCTACAACTAATTCAGCTGTGGAAGGAGGTCTTCCCAGCAAGGGTCAGAGAACCCACTACAAGGGAGGAGGTATTAAGACAACCGATTTTTTGCAATATCAGCATTAGGGACATCGGCGGAAAACCTCTAACACTAACTAGCAAGGATTCGAGATGGGGCAGATGGGTGGAACATGGAATATGGCAGATCAAACATATTTGGGATGATGAAAACAAGCGGTGGAAAACAGCAGGGGAACTGAGGAGAGCATTGAAGGGTTGCCACAACCTTCAGGACAATCTGAGAATAGTCACAGACTCCATACACCCATCCTGGATTCTCTTGCTGAGAGAGGGAAAGCAATGGCGTGAGGGAGATTGGGCTACATGGGAAGATGATCCGGAACCTAAACAGATCTTCAGGGTGTGGGACACGGACAAAGATAGGAATGAATGGCTAGTAGCTGATAAATACGACATAATACAGCCGAGCATTACCACTTCCCAACTAGACAAGTCCTCCAAAGCACCGCTGTATATTCTTAAACAAGGGTTACAGAAGGTAAGAGTGATAGAGATGGAAGAGTTTACAGTATACAGTTCAACAGTACCAATCGAGGACCTAGAGGTTGACCCTGGAGAATGGGCTTGGAACATTAGAAATGGGCAATCAAGAGTAGCAAGAAGAATCAACATTCTCCAGTATACCACAAAAACGGGGTATAGACTGAGGAACAGATCCAGGTCCATGGGACACTCACTGACCAAACGCTGGGAGAAGAAAGTAGGGATCCCTAGGAGCCTAATGCCCGACATACCGTGGTCTACCATCCTATCTATCAGACTGGGTCAGGTTAGAAGTATGCAATGGCTAATAGCGCACGTGGCACTACCAGTGAACGTGTGGCTCAACGAAAGAAGAAGTCACAATCAGAGAAACGAGGAAGCGGAGCTTTGCAAGGTGTGCCAAGAAGGGCTTCTGGAAACATTGGTGCATTGTCTGCTGGAATGTAAGGAGGCAGAAGTAGTGTGGGAACAAGTTAGGGGGATTTGGAAACAGGTAGCGACGATAGCCTTTCCGGAGTCAAAGATTACCATGCTTTTGGGGATTGGGGTTCCTAAAGGATGGCAACCCTATCAGAGGCACATCTTTCAACTGCTTAGACAATATGGATTGTGGACCATTTGGAAGAGGAGATGTCAGGCAACTATGGAAGGAACACTTAACTCATAGGGAGGAAGCTAGAGAGCTGCTCCTCAATACAGTGGAATCACATCTCAACGCACAGTGGAAAAGGGTGAGACAGCAAGCTAGACAACAACCTGGGCAAGAGGAGGAAATAATCAAAACATTTAAACAGAAAACGTTGGGTCAGGGGAAAGTAGCAGAGCCCAGAGGTGTACGGCTTCGCTTCAAATGGAGAGAGGAGGGATGAGGAAGCCAGGGAACAGAAAGGATGGAGGGATAAAGGAAAGAGAGGAAAATTAACTTCTCCTTTGATGGGCATCCCTAAGTGGCCTCAGAAAACATTATAGGATCCGGGTTGAGTTCACCAGCAAGACTTCCCTTGAGTCATATGGAAGGCAAGATGCAGCAGAAAGATTGAGGAGACTGCAAACCCACGGGAGAAAGCCCAGGCAGAGACTAAGGTTCTGATACGGGCAGAATTTCTACGCAGATGGAAGAGGACCAAGAGAACAGGGACAGATGGCGAAGAGCAGCGGAAGAAGGCTAGAGACAACT